GGAATGGTCATTCTCATTCTATTGTTTGGTTGTAAATATGAAATATGTAGGAATGAAATGATAATAACCATTTTAGTATTTGGTTGAACTAATTTAAAATTTAGAATAGAATAAATTTCAAATTGAATTCTCCAAAATATCCATATTAGTAACAAATAAATTAAATTAACAAAATGACATTCTCTAACAATTTTAAAAAAATAAATGGTAGCAGTGGTTGTGGTGGATGGTGGTGGAGGCAGAAAGTGGTAGTGGTGTAAGTGGTGGTGTTAGAAGGCGGCGGTAGTGGAAATGGTGGAAGGCGGTAGCGGCGGTGGTGGTGGAAGGCGGTGGGAATAGTGTGGTAATGGTGGTGGAAGAAGATAATGGTGTAGGTAGCGGTGGTAAAAGGTGGTGGCGGTGGCGGTGGTGGTGGTGGAAGGGGGTGGTGGCAGTGGTAGAAGGCGATGGCAGTGGTGGAAGGTGGTGACAGTGGTAGAAAACGATAGCGGTAGTGGTGGTGGAAGGTGGTGGCAGTCGTAGGAGGCGATGGTGATGGAAGGTGGTGAAAGGCAATGACAGTGGTAGTAGTGGAAGGTGGTGGAAGACGATGGTGGCATTGGAAGGGAGTAACGATCAAAGGCGGTGGCTGTGGTGAAAAGCAATGGTGTAAGGTGGTAGTGGTGGTAAAAGGCGGTGGCAGTGATGGAAGGTGGTGGTGGTAGTGGAAGGCAGTAGTAGTGGCGGTGGTGGAAGGTGGTGGAAGGTGGTGGCAGTGGTGGTGGAAGCGGTGGTGAAAGGCGGTGGTAGCGGCGGCGGTGGTTGCGGCAAAAGAAGGAGGCATTGGTGGTGAAAGACGGTGGCGATGGTGGTGGTTGTGAAAAACGGAAGTGATTGTAGTGGAAGGTATGTAGTGGTGGTTTTTGAACTTAGAATATAAGGGTGTTTTGGGAAGTTGATTTTTAAAAAAAAAATTTACTTAGGAATGACCATTTCATATGTTTAGTTGTGGAATGGATTTTCATTCCAATGGAATGGTCATTCCCACTTTAAATTGCATACCAAACAAATGAATGGTTGGAATGGGCATTTCATTCCTATACACCAAATGCAGCGTAAAAATGTCTTGAAATAATAAAATAATCATGCATTAGTAGACCAAAATACCCTTGATGAGTAAATGAGTGACAATACTAATGTATTATTGTGCGTCCTTCTCCCCATAACTGTCTCTAACAACGTTGTTTTTGGGGATTTTTTGTGGCTTTGATGCGTCTGTTACATTCTGGATTGGAGAAGATACATGAAGATTGGGTAGTTGAAGATGACAATAGATGTTTCGGCTTACGATTCTGAACTGAGAAGTGAGTGCGTCTGCAACGACGAGCAGGAATGGGATTTGTAGGTTTAACACAGTAGTTTTTACTCAAGATTTCCCAAATTGGGCCCGGATCAGAGAAGGAAACAAATGAGAGAGGATCCAACTGGGTTACATAGAAAGAGGGTGGTAGTTGGTCGATGGTGGTCGAATGGTTCCCAGTCGGCGCGTAGAGGACAGATGTGGGACGAATGCTGAGGAGAATCACGCCATCCCTGGGGCAGATGTAGTTTTGTACTGTCCACTGAATGACGAAGGCACTCTCATCGTTGAGGTTAATAGCGATGGCGAAGCGGTGGTGAGCTTTGAGCAAATATGGCGATACGGCAGTGAGCTCCGAGCGGCGATAACGATTCGGCGGTGAGCTCTGAGCAATGATGGCGTTCCTCAAGAGCTGTCACGTCATCATCGGCACTCTCAGGGAAGTCCACGTTGTGTCCGGGCTTTCATGACCAGGTTTCTTCATTTTTTCGGCGACAAGGGTCGCCTTTTCCCTTCGCTAATATCGAGACATCGATGATAACGATGGTCGTTGTTTGTTCCATATACTAGGTCACGTTGCCATAAGAGCGGATGAGGCGTTTGTAGATTGTAATTGGGTGTGTTGGATTTTGTCCTCATCATTGACAGTGCGTTCTTTGGTGAGAATTGCAAAGATGGAGAGAGGAGTGAAGGAGATGAATAGTGGAAAAAGGGAAAAAAATGTAAAATATTTTTTGCGACAAATATTAGTGACAAAAGGGTCATTCTTTTTTCTTACTCCCTCCGTCTCATAATAGATGTCCCTTATGGGGAGTAAAACTTTTTAAGGGGACATGCAATTATTGCATTATCCCCTTTAAAAATTACAAAGTTACTCTTTCAAGTTTAAATATATATATATCTAATCAAGTTTGAAATTTTTTAAAATTTTAAGAGTATTTTATGGAAAGATGTGAAATATGTTGTTTAAATTTGGTAAGTGGACAAATATTTTAGTACAACCCAAAAAGGAAAGATGGACAACTATGATGGGACGGAGGGAGTAGATATTTTGCCCATTTGCAATAATATACTAATAAGGGTATATACGTAAATTCATAATCAAATCTGACATTAGGGTGTCTTTGCAACAAAATAACAAATCTCGAGTTTAGTTACAATTAGTCCAAACCTTAGGGGAGGTCATTGTAATTTACCCAATTTTTTACATTTAAAACACTTGTAAATCTGTTTGGTAATAATTTGCTTAATACACTTTTTATTATCAAGTGCATTACTTAAATATAAATATAAAAAAATTCTTATGCTTTGTTTGGTAGAAATGAAGGAAAAATGGTAGAGAGAAAACAGGAAGGAAAAAACAAAAGGGTCTGCTTGTTTTGTAATTTTGAAAATAATTTTTAAGAACTCAGAAAATAAAAAACTGTTAGAACAACCTTTTATAGTTCTCTGAAAATATGCATTTTTATAACTGTGTTTTTAAAAAATAATTTTTAAAAAACTGAACCAAGCAAAAATTTTGTACAATTTTCTATTTTCAATTCTCTGAGAACAGAAAACTGTTTTTACAGTTGCAAACCAAGTATGCCCAAACTTTCTTCCTTCGGTAGAGATGGGACAAGGAGAAAAGAAAAATAAAATAAAATAAATAAATCATCCTTCCTCTTTCACAAATTTTTTGTAATGTCTGTAAAAAAAAAAAAAAAAAAAAAAAAGAAAAGTCAAAGGGTGGTGGTGGGACCCACCACCCACTCACTTTTAATGGTCTAGAGACCATTTTTTTGGATCTCACTTTCTCTCTCCCCGTCAATTTCCTTCTTCCTCTCATTTCACATTATTTTTCTTCCCTTCTTGGAAGCCAACTTTGAATCAGGATTCTAGCTTTATTTCTTGCCGGATTTAAGTGCCGTTTGAGGCAAAATGACGAGCACGACGAGCTCTACGTGCTAGTAGCAGAAATTCCAGCTTTTGGTCTTCTTTGGGAGCTCGAATTTAAGAACCCATTTCTAGGGATTTTGCTCGTTTTGAGGTAGGGGCATCTTAATCCACTCCTTTCTTATTCTATTGTGAATTACACCTCCTTGTTGTGTCAAACATGTTTAATTCGGAGTTAATTGTATCTATGATTGTATGAATGATGTCTAGAGAATTTTCAAGAGCTTGATTATGACTTGTTTCATGTGTAAAGTATGTTTAGATGTTGTTTTATCATGCCCACTATGTGTTAACATGTTGAAAATGACTAATGAGAACATGTTTATTTAGATTGTGCCAAATTTTCCATTGTCATAATATTGAGATTATATGTACATCCATGTACATGTCATTGAGATGCATGAAATAGGAGAATTTGTCTTGAAATGAAAATGGGGGAAATTTTGGGAGAAGAGTTTTGTCAAATAGTTTTGATAAACCCGGTCGCTGCGGGGTTACCAACAGGCCGGAGGTTAATATAGCCTAGAGGGGACTAGGGAGTCGCCCTAGCGTGATTGAGCTATTCGTGCCCCTCGATGAAGCTGCGGGGTTATCAAAGGTCTAGGGACGATAGCCAATCCTCCTCTCGTGTTGCGGCGGGGTTACCAAAGGGCGGGCTGTATTAACATTTGAAAGTGATGGTTTTGTGAATGAAAATGGGGAGTGGCATTAGCATGCATTGCATTTCATTGCATTGCATGGTTTATAATTGGAATTGACGTGCATATTGTTTTAATTCCCTATATTGCATGATCCCTATTTCCCATTGGCCTATGCTTTATTTGGATTCACAAGAACACAAGAATTGTATCTTAAGTGTCACCTACTGAGCTTTATGCTCACCCTACTATTTATATTATTTTTTTCAGGTCTTGGAAATGAACCGGTGGACGACAATCCACCTCAAGTTTGAAAGTTGTTAGAAGGTTATTTGCTATTTTGTATTTTGACCGTTTTATGTATATTCATAGTTGTGGGGATGTAACTAAGTTAGTATTCATGGCCTTGTAACTTAAGAACGAACTTATCTTTTGTTTGATGTAAATAAAACTAATGAAATTATGATATATGCTTCCATGCAATTGTATCATGTAACGTTATAAGACAATCTTAACCATGTATTTTGGGACTATAATTATGATAATTTAGATTAATTGGTGTGTGGATATTCTATCATGACAGGAACTATGTTGAGGTATAATGAATTGATGAATGGGATGCTGGATGATATTATGTGTTTTGTATTTTGGGACAGGTTGTTGAAGGCCCATTTTTAGGGGAGGTTATGCCGAATTTTTTTTTTTTAAATTTTAGCATCAACTAGGGTCGTTATATTTTTTTCCATCCAAATGTAAAGAGAAGACACAAAGGAAGAAAGACAATGATACTATGAATATTTATGCACACCTTCGTGCATAAATATTTCTAGTAGGAACCATTGTGAAAGCTTCTATGTCATAACTTCACTCGAAATTAGTTTTTTTAAATGATATAAGTAGTCAATGCCAAAGTGCTGGTAAATATAAGGATGATTAAGCTTGATAGCACAATTTCTATAAGAATAGCAGTGTGGTAGTTGGAATCAATCTTCCTTTGATTTAAACAGTACATTGGAATCAATCTTCCTTTGATATTTAAATATTTTGTGACATTTTATATTGAATAAGGTTACTAAGATCAGTAAAAATAAGAGTACTGAATGAGACATTTCACACACTTTATATTGAATAAGATTACTAAACAAGATTGTTAATCCTTCTAAACCACAAGGAAAACCTAAGCCCTAACAAGCACATCAGCTACTGCCTTATGACAAAAGGCCTCAGCCCTAACACGCACATCAGCTCACTTTATGATACCATCAGAAGTTTATAAATAAAACTCACAAAAAGTCACTACACATCAGCTCACTTAATGATAACGTAAATTGTTTCTAAATAAAACCTACTTAAGAGTTCACGGTGTATTTCAAACAGTAGCATGAAGCATTCCGTATAGACCTGCAAAAAACCAGTTCAGTAACAGCCCATCAAAGCAGATGCAATTTATGTGGGTCCGACTTTCATACTTGAATATAAGAAGTTTCAATATCAGCCTTACAAAATTGTCAATTTATGGAAAATATTGGAATTTCACAAATATAAAACAGCATGAATGCAATAAGAAGTATGGTTATGTGAATTAATGCCATTGGAGGAGGTATAGGGCGTTGGATGTACAACAAGGAACTAATCAATTTCGTGGTTCCATATTGTGAACGCTGGATGCCCTACCCATAAGACAGAAAATTATAGAATACTTTATTATAGAGCACAGGTACCTATATCTCCTAATTAGCCCAACTTGCGTCTAACGTAAAACTAGGTTCACTAACAGACACATCATGCTACGGAGTATTAATTAGAGGCAGAACCAATGGACAACAGGAAGTTGCAAAGATGGTCTGTCATGTACAACAAGGATGGACGAACTGTGGAAATGCCGAGGGACTTTGTTTAATTCGATGGGGCTCAAGGGAAAGGGAACGCCAAAAAGGTGGATTGAGGCAGTTTCATAGACACAGTGACCTAACTAATAGGCCTTTAAGAGTACAACAGTGCAAAGAGTTCATGTAGCTAATCATAATAAGCTAAAATGAGGCTTTAACAAGTTGAGTTGAGACTCACCTACTTACTCATTGCCAGGATAAAACAGAAGAATATGTTAAGGAAACAACGGCAAGTATTGAAGCCCCGTGTTCTCCGGAATTCCCATCATCAAGTTAAGATTTTGTACAGCTTGACCGGAAGCTCCTTTTACTAGATTATCGATCTGCAATGAAGTTTAAGAATAGCCATCATAAATAATAGCACAAGATGTCCTTTTTTATAGAACTGCAGTAAAATTTTAACATATAAGCATGCTGAAAATTCAGACGTACAACAGATATTATAATTGCTCTTCCAGGTATCCGATCGGGAAACACATTCATAACACAGTAATTGGATCCACGAACATGTCGGGTATGAGGAATTTGACCTTTCTTTAGCAATACTATGAATTCTTCATCCTGCACATACCAATAAACAGAAGAGAAAATTCCACCCATCACCAATGAAAACAAATAAGCTCTCAGAAAATCAGTAAGTGATGTACGCAGATCAAAAATCAATAAGTGATATTACTGATGTATGCAGATCAACCCATCTTGTCTGCACTTTGGATTGCATTCCAAAGATGCCTGGGAAGATGGAGTGGCATGAACAATCACTTAGGTTTGTCCGTCCATTTAAGAAATACAAAACAGGATATATATAGTTGATCAACTGCCATTTATGGGTTTCCACACAGGAGATTTTTTATTTTATTTTTTTCATTGCAAATAATAGCACAACCAATTAAGACAGTCTCCTTGGCCATGCCTTTGAGCATTGACACATACTTGAAAGGTGTAGATGAGCATACCGCGGCAACACGCCAGGTGGCATCATTTTTGAAATATTACATTTGGTCAATGCCGACTAGACCACGCCAGTACCTGCCTGGCATCCCTCTGAAGGAGACCAAGTAACCTCGAGCTACTTGTCCCAAAACGGCATATCTTGTGCGAGGAAGGGGTCGCCACCCTTCCCTCTCCTGTGGAGGGACCCCACTCCAATAGGATGGGTCCCACCTCTCATGCTGCTTTCGAAGCTCTTTCCTGTAGATAGAGCTTCAATCCTGAAAAAGGATCTTCCACCTCGAGTCCATCTGCTTACGAGACTCTGGGTGCGGAGCAGGGATGGGGGTCTGGGGAAATCTAGAAGGCAGAACCCCGAGGGATCCCTCCCCTCATTTCTGGCGTCGGGAATCTGAGGTATAGCGGACAGGTGGCTGGAATCTAAGGAAGTGCCTCGAGGTGAGGCCAGCACAAGGGGGAAAGGATGATTGTTTCCTAGGATCGAGCTCCTACCAGAGGACAGATGGCGCATTAATGTGCCAACCTGTTGACATGACCAGCATTAAATGCAAGATATGACCACTCCCTCGAACTAAGATATAAGGTGCCTCAGGCCACCTGCCGGTGTCCCATCTGTCAAACGTATGGCCATTAAACCTATAGGTAAAAGAGAACCATCATCTAACTTCAGTATTCTTAATCTACGTGAAATAATCTCCTCACTTCAAAGAACTTTCATCAACAAAAGGTTAATAGATGATAGCTTCCTACCCACCGAGATAAGTTTTGCATTGTGAATGTGCACATATGTGTGACCCAAAACTACAGAAAATAAATACATCTAGCCCTATGTGGTCATTTAACTCTGGTGATAGTTGGTAATGGACTAGAGAACAAGTGAGCAAGAGTTGATAGTCATGATGTGCTCCACATACCTCATAGAAGCTCCTCAACTGTTGGTACAAATCTTCAATTGACACTCCCAGAGCCATTTCCACATATATAGTTGATTGCATACCACGGCTCTGTGAGAAAGCATAGTGAGTTAAAAAAAAGGTAAATAAGTTAATTTACACCATAAAATTGAGGGTAACTAATACCATTGGCATCAAGTGAGGAGTGAAGCTGACAGTTATTTTTGAACTTGCAGCATCACATAATCCCTGTTCAATTTCTGGCACTGAAAATACCAATATAAACCAGATTACTGCCTCTTGTACTCTAGGAATAATGATATGCAATTGCTTTAATGTTTCAAGCAATTTAAACGTCTCCTCAACGAACAATTAGAATTTTCAGACAATAATAAACCTTTATATAGATCCGAAAAAGGAAAAGAAGAGGGAAACAAGAGACAAGTTACAACTACAGAGACTATCAATCCACGGATCTAAGAGATCAAATAGCAAACTCCAGTACAAATCCTCCGAGGTGATAACCATTTGGAAACCAGTAATTAAAATGGCTTCTCTTAGTTGATCTTGGAATATCTTTTACAGGACTTTAAGTGAATAAGACAGTGAGGGCACTATAAGAAACTTTAGTTACAATGTAAGACTAAGTTTCTTTTATCACATCCTAATGGTTTGGTTATGAGTATAAATACTTACCATGGCGATGGCTAGTAACACCATAAGAATGAATCCCTTCAGCTATTTCAGTGTATAAATTTGCCTCCTTGGCGCCACGTCCTGCATGGCGTACCAAGTATCAGAAGCTTCTCCAGCATTGTAGCAAGTACAATCAAGAATATATTGCCAAGGAAAGGCAGTGGTCATAATTCTAACCTGCTCCACTCACACCAGATTTTGAGTCAATAATGATATTGTTCAAGCCAATCAGGTTAGCCTGCAAGCAGAAGAAAAACCAGAAAACCATAGGACACTTAATGTGGACTAATGAGAAGAATGAGCCTTAATTGAAAATATTTAGATTTCATGCATTCAAAAGCTAAGATTCTGGCGGAACGGATAGTTCAAATCTAAGTGTGGAAACTGCTTTGTTTGTATTCGAAAGAGTGCCACAAAAAAGAACAAAAATTGTATTACTTCTACCATAATCACTAAATTTCTCTCTTCGCTTTCCCCAATAAGTGAGCCAAACCAAATGAAAGTGGAAAATGTTTTTAATCTATATACACTTTTCTTCTCTTCCCTCAAAACCAATCGGTGTTAAACACCTCCAGATAAAGGAAATTTTCCAATGCGTTCAATCAGGAGATTGTATATTATCCAAACTCATTTAGTAATCAAAGCAACCAAGTAGAGTTCAAAATTAGGGACCCATTCAAAGCAAACTTTTAAAAACATATTAAAAACTATGAACAGAAACAAGGCTGCCACAGTGACTCGTCCAAATATTATCCCAAACTTTGCTTTCCATCAAGTAGTTGAGCAACCAGAATGGCATCAGAAACTGAAACAGAAAAAGGATGTTGAAATAGCCACACCTATTTTTCAAAGATCATCAATTAAAAGCATTATAGATTGACAAGTGTTGCCAAACTAAAGTGTTTTCATGGTAAGGCCATTTAATAATATGTCATTTGGAAGTATTTCCATTTCCTTTCCTGTTTTGGTTTATGTGGGTTCCTACAGACGGACAATTTTTTTAGCGATGCTAAAATTCTTTTGGTTGGACATAATCGAGCATGACTTCCTAGTTTTACCATTAGTGCCTCAGCTACTCATATTTTGGCATATTGACAATTAAAGCCAGTTAACTTGTCATCAAACACTACTTTAATCTAAATAAGAGAAACTATATACATTAAAATTGGTGTACCTGTTGATTCAGCTCCTAGTACATCTCATGAGGAATGTTACAGTAAAGGAATATGGCCATATCATAAAAAAATTACCAAAGTACTGCAAATCTAACACATATCAGAAATCATACTAAGAAGCTTTTAAATATTTAACAAACCTTTATCAAGGGAACAAGAGGAAGTTGAATAGACGTAGGATAACAGCCAGGATTTGCAACTAGACGTGCATTTTGGATTTCTGCTCTAGAAATCTCTGTCAAACCATATACAGCTTCTTTCTAGAACAGGACAAAATAAAATGTCACATGCAGAAAAAAACAATGTTAATTAGAGCAGAAAAAAAGGTAGATAATCTTCAAGGATAATGATGCAGAAGATTCATGCCAAAATGTACCCGTACTTCATAAGACAAAAAATAATTTCATAGATAAACAATGCATCAGAAGCTAATATTATGGAGACAACATTTTTAAGGATAAAAGTATATCTAACCTGCATATCTGCTGCTCTGTGAGGTTGACCATACCATTTTTCATATTCACCAATATCTCGCAACCGGAAGTCCTGCGTAATCATCCTATATTACTTTTTCATGGGTAGAACTCTAAATTTTGACAAAATCATTAGGATACATGTATGCAGATACATGGAAAATGCATAACCAAAAGAACACATCCGGATCATACTGCAGAAAGATCAACAATCTTTAATTCTTTAGGAAGACCTTTGATAATTTCCTGTAAAAAGATAAATTAATGATTAATTATCAATTAAAAAAAAAACGCTTCATATAAATGTATATACACATATGCCAATCAGTAATCTGATTACAAAGGAACTGGTGTCACGGATTAAATGCTTTTCAACTTTCAGAAAGAGAATTCAGGGGGTCGCAAAATTGCTGATTGCACTTATCAAAAATAAAATAAAATAAATTTTCTAATTGCATGAATGAAATCATGTCACAGAATTATTAAAGGACCTGTGTGGTTCCATGTGGCAAACAACAAAACACAGCATCCACATTAGAAAAATCTGCATCCTTGATAGCAACCATGTCTGGTAAATCCTGCAAACATACAGGAAGTCAAACATTGTAATTTCATCTCAAAGCTATAAAAATAGTACTAACTGTTCTAGGAATAAGCACAATTGAAACATTTCAAAAAGGCAAAAAATAAATAAATAAAAAATGTTTACAGAACTGCAATGCCAGAAAAAGAAAAAGAATATATGAAACAAAAATGACTCTTTCTTCATGGTTTTCCACATATGCGAAACTGTAAAAGAATTAAACTGTGCGAAAATTTCAGAATCTCACTATTAATGCATAGATACGTATCAAGGGAATTACTAAATTTACTTTTCGGCCATATCACGGTCATGAGGTTTTTAAACATTAACAAATTGGTGGAATTGAGCTATGGCTCTAAATTAAGCTGTGGTAGAGATGAAATTTTAGTTTCTGAATTTAGAAAAAGAAAATAGAAATCAAGCAATATTCAGATCCCCAATTTCAAGAATAGAAATCCTCAACTACGGCCGAGAAGTAAAGCAACACGACAAAAATAATAACAAGAACAAAAACAGTAAAAATAAGACAACGGAACATGCCAATGACTACATCACTACAACACAGATTTCAGATACAGCACTTTGGTTGACTTGTATCTGTCATAGACGAGACATGATCTAAAAGGTTCAAACAATCGTGACCAAGATACCATGGTTTTTATTAGCACGCAGCAGTAACAATGAGCTTGAACTTTTATAGTTACCAAAATCAATTCTTCCCAATGGACCTAAATCAATTCTTCTTAATGGACCAAGTTAACTGGAAACCACAAAATCAAACCTTACAATCTCTCTCTGATGTGTTGGTTCTAACCTTCCTACAAAATTCTTATATATACAGAATTGATTCCACCATTGGAGCAATTTGAATCCCAAAAATGCCAAAATATTATACAGTGGACAATGAGTTGTAGATTGAACTCCAGAATTGATTCTTGACGCAAATTTTTTTTATTTTTACTATGACTTTATATTTGAAAAAATAAGCTTTGTTTACCTTGACCGTTAATTCTAGTAAATTATTACATAATCAAGCAAAGGAATTATAATTAGAATTATTAATAATATTGGAAATAAAGACAAAATTATTGGCATTTTGGTTTAGTTCTTTGAAAACAGCTTTCTAGAAGGGAAACAAACTATCCTCTGAAATTAGGCCTTTTTCCAACTCCATTTTCAAGTAATAGCTTCTAGAAACAAATTTTCAAACTATTGTCTATTTTTCTAGTATCTGAAAACAAAAACCTATTATTTGAACTAAACTAAACAGACCCTATAATTTCTGTGATCCATCCTAATCAATAAATAGGTTACTAGTCTAGTTGGAGTTCAAGAAACATTCGAGATTTCTGCAACCAACTAAGCAAATGAGCTAGATCCAAATTAATTTTGAATCACCAACATGACTGGTCTGATTTTTACTTTTAGAATTTAGACATAAAAGCAATGGAAAATGATTGTCTTTTGGTAGATCAAGCAATAAATTAGATTCTTTTTCAGGTTAAAGTTAATGAAGAAACAAAAACATGTGAGAATGGGCATTATCATACTACCTCTAGTACAACCTTCAATGAATGAAAACCCATGAAAATATAAAGATTCATACTTGTGAGACCAAATGAGGAAACACTGATCCAATTGATTGGCCAGCTTTCCTATCAGCAGTCATCAAAGTAATGCCGAAGTAAGGATGGTTTGCAAGGAGACGAACAATCTGCATGAAAAGCAACATCTTATCTGTTAAGTGAAATATATTAAAGAATAAATAGACATAAGGTATTAATCGATTACTTACCAAATAAATTATTAATTATTGATTCATCATGCAGTTACAAACTCAGACCATGAACAAAATCAAAGACATAGGTAAGTCTATCCCTCTACATATAATTTCATTTTCTTCTTTAATTTCACTAATGTCTTGCTCATAAATATAGAGTAAGCAAACTGTACTATGCTTTGTCATTCTTAGTTGCCAAAAAACATGTCCCGTCATTATACCAAATTTGGAACCGAATTCAATTAGAAGAGGGTTTGAAAGGGAAAGGGACCAAAAGGATTCAGCATCAAGCCCCTTATAAATTGTAGGGTACTGAACAATGTGCTATTATAATAGGAATTTGACGATTTCTGCTTTTTTATGTTGTGAAAAGAAAGTAGAATGGTGAAACTGAAGTCTTTTAAATTAAAACCTAATCCTATTCAAATATGACCATTATAGGAGTTATAATGGGACTCAAATCCATCCAAGTCCAGTTATTTATTGAATTCCCATATTCCAAATAACCGAAATCCAAACTTTTTAATCAAACCCTTCTCTTTCTAGTTAAATCCCTTCATTCCAAATACAATGCGAATGTCTCCTAGAAACTTCATATGCATGTCATTTTAGCACCCAAACCGAACAAAGGTCTTTAATCTAAAAACTTTTTCTTTTCTTTTTTTTTTTTTTTTTTTTTTTTTTCTTTCTAAAACCATTTCTGATTTATATTTTCTGTCTTTTCCACTGATTCATCTAAGTATCTTCAAAGGGTCAAGGTTGGCGGGTCATCAATTCAACGACAAATAATAATAATGACAAAAAATATTATGAGGGGCATTTTATACCTCTGAACCAGTGTAACCACTGGCTCCAAGAACAGCAATTTGAACAGTATTTTCAGGTGTCTGAGTTTTGACCTTCGCAAACTGCATCCTCTGTGGGGTCGAGGAGGCTACCGAACATTTTATATGCAGTTTCCTGACACTTGAAATTTTCGGTTCATCCTACAAATCAAAAACATAAATTCAGAAATATCAAACACTAATAACTTCCACTAACTCCTATCTTCAAGCTCACTCCTCACTTTTCTATGTATATTATATACTCCTCACTTTTCTATGTACAAATATATAATATAGATGTAATAACCATCAATCACAAATTCACAATATATCTATAACAGAATTATAATCCAGAGTAAAAGACAATTATCTATTCCACCAAGAAAACAGATGAAAGGGAAAGAAATTATAGAGTTTCAGCTCTCTGTTTGAAGAATTAAACTCAAGCCAAACCGTACATTTCATTAGACAGAGTCCAATTTAGTTTCCCAATTTCTCAGAATCCAAAAATTGGTTTACAATATTTTCCTTTCAGCATTTTCTCGGCATTTAAACAGATCAGAATTTGAGTACAAGAAAAGGAACCTTCCGGAAGCATTTCCGACCGATACAAGTCGAATTCGAAGCGGTGACGGAGCTCATTTTTTTTTTTTATGGAAAATCTGTAGAAATCATGAACATAAAAAGCTTCAATCAAGTAAGGATTTTATATAGAAAAATCGGAGTGCGTTGTTTCAACAAGTTATGAGATTTAGAGATGTACCTTTAGGAATAGGACAACTTAGAACCACAAATTAGGTTTATTTGAGAAAGTGAACTGCAACGATTTGGATGAGGCCGTTGAGATTTTCACTTTCTGCAAAAGAACAAAGCATCTTTCAAAAAAGGGTCAGTGACAAAACCCTAAATGGAATGAGAGAATATTGGGTACCCCAGGGTACCCCGTCAGCATGTCCACCTGCTACCCCAATCCAATAAAAACATAACATCTGGTTAACTTTCCACATCAGCTTCATACTAAACCCACTAACACTGAGGCGTCGTTAACTTCTCTACTTTCTCTCTCTACTCTTTTCTTCTTTCTCCTCACCGTAGTAAGCATTGGGATTCAACAAAAATGGCAGCAACAATCGGTACTCTGCTACCAACTACCAACAAAACAAAGCCCTAGATTGTTTTGTCACCGCCCTTGACCCCCAATCTCTGATCCTCTCACAATTTTCCGATTCTGAAAAACCCAATCTTCTGCAACTCACAACAGAAAGCTTCGTCATGGAGAGAGGACCCAGATACAAAGCGTACGCCGATTTGAGAGAATCGAAGCTTAGAATGAAGAACATGAGACAACAACAGCCTCAGGAACAGGAATTCAATCTTTCACCACCAAAGAAACAGGTGAGATTTCAGAAGAAATTTTCGGCGACCCCGATTGGGCGAAAAGGTCCTCTATTCTTGCGCAATCGGTGCCCTAATTATGGTGATTCCCAAGACGTTCACGCCGGAGAGGGCGGCGATGTAGTTAGGGCAATGAGGAGAGAGAAAGAAAGTGGGATGGAGGGCTGATGTAGGTTTCATAATTTTTTTTTTTTAACGAAGTTATCGCAGTCGAGGCCGGACCACTTGCAGTAGTCGGCGCCGGTCCAGTCCGATGGGGCTGGGGGGAGGCTGGTGGCGAGCTTGGTTATGACGGCGGCCTCGTCAGCTGAGGAGAGAGAAAGTACGATGAGGAGCAAAGGAAAAAAGGGTAGAGAGAGAGTAGAGAAGTTAACGCCGTCTCCGTTAGTGGGTTGAGTATGAAGCAGATGTGGAAAGTTAGCCAGATGTCATGTTTTTATTGGTTTGGGGTAGCAGGTGAGACGTGCTGACGGTGTACCTTGGGGTACCCAATATTCTCTCGGTAAACCTGTGTTTTCTGGTCCCATGGAAACTCTGTACCACCAATGGAAAATGGTGACAATGTGACATGGCTTGGGTCGTAAAGGCCCAGGCTCAGCCCAAACCTGGACCAGTCTCTTACAAGTAATCTGGCACCCAAAGGCCCATGGAAGAAAATCAAAATCCTCTCAAAACAAGTAGTAATCTGGCACCCAAAAGGCCCATGGAAGAGACTAAAAATCCTATCCAAACAAGTTTTTGACATCTCAAAATAATTTGAGTACGTGAATAACTATTTTGAGAATTAACATATTAAAAATTAAATCTCAAAATAAGTTGTTCACTCTCAAAATAAGTTGTTCAATACGTGTGCAACAGGCTGTAGTAAAGAAAATGTAAGTTTTTTTAGATATAATATCATAACCGTGATGCACGTATCGAAACATTAGGGACGGACCAGACCATTAAGTTAAGAAGGACAAAAATAATATTTTTTTATTAATTTCAGAGAGGCAATAATAATATTTTAAGAGTCTATAAGTGGAAAAGAACAATTTAGTTAAGACATATTAATAATTAAAAAAATTCAAAGGGCATTCCCCCTGATCTGTGAATGTAAACCTTCATTCATATATAAGTGGAGAGTAATACATAAAACCATCCATTTTATCAAACATAGGATTAGATGAGATAATGAGAGGTAAATGGTCATTTGGTTGGGGAGAGAATATATATATATTTTTTCTTTTTCTTTTTCTTTTTCTTTTTTGGTCCTACTGGATAACACAATTACAAAAATTGCTCTTTTACAGAAATTTGGACATGTTTAACCTTCTACTCTAAAAAAGTTTAAAGAGATTCCATAGGACCACATGTATGTAAAGTAAGTCCTAGTGCTATGGTTAACAATTTGAAAAAATTTTCATATTTTAAATATGATCCAATTTTGTTTTATGGACTTTAAAAAATGAAATTTAATTTGAAACACAGGAAAATTTATTGAGGAGAAGTGGAGTTTTAACTTCTTAATGTTATTTATTAGTTTAGGTATTTGATATAATTATTAATTTATTAAGAGTCTTGTGACTTAGTGGTATTTTTTTTTATTTCTAATAATGGGAGTTTAAATCTTCAAAAGAGCAAAGTAAGTAGTGTGTGAGATTATTGCAAATGACCCAAAAAAATAAATCAATAAATAAAAGAAAATTTATTATTATTATTATTATTAATTTTACTTTTTCATAAATACTTCAAATTAATAAATTGTGGTCACCAAACTCAACCCCCCCTCATTGAATTGGTCCAAGGGTTGTTGCAAACTTGCACCCGAAGTAATTTTCACGCACCGTGCACTTTACAAATAAAGATGAAAAGACGACTCGAAAAGAGAAAAATAAAAGTAAATGCACTATAAAATGACTAGTACTTTAGTAAAGACTTCTATTAATATTTAATAAAAATCTATAGTACCTTTTTTTTTCTTTTTTTCCATTTCCACAACATTAATAATACCTTATATAGAACCAACATACCCCTTTGTATAAAAATGAACAACCACTGCTTACAACAAATTAGGGCTTTTGTGACGATGTTTTAGTGACAAAGCCTATTTTGTCACTAATAATGATATTTAAATCTGCAATTTTGATATTCTCTGTCTCCCTATCTTCCGCCATTACTGAATCCCTATTTCTCAATACATAATAGAGCATAGATTAGAGTAGATTTGAATATTAGTAATTTAATATATATATATATATATATATATATATATCAATGGATCAGTAGTCTAGCGGTATCAGCTTCTTACTTTCTAAAAGGAGGTCAGAGAAATTTTAGAGGTGATCCATGATAAATTAAAGAGAAACTCCCAACTAGATTGAAATCTTCTGAATTGATGCTTTTAGGTTTCTTTTACCATTTTTCCCATAAAGCATTTTATATCAAGGATCTAATTATAGAGTGAATACAATTTGAGTTTTCTTATATAGACTAAAAGAATCTATAACAGGATTGAGTTGATTAAGCTCCACAAAATCTTTTCTTTTTGGTTAAGCATTATATGTACTGGTTGTTGGTGAGCAGTGTATCTGACTGCAAAATTCGAATTAGTTTCCCTGATCCAAGCTAAATCATCAACCATAAATAATATTTGGTTTTGGAATTGATGCTTTTCTCAAAGATTAATCATTATGTGTACAAATTAATCCTTATCCTAGATATTATTAGTTTATCCATGTGGTTGAAGTTATATTCTGTAACACCAACCTTTTAATTTTTTTTTGGAAGTCAACAATTTTTGTCTTAGAAACATTGAAAGAATGATACAATGAATTCGTCCCCTTTCCTCTTTCTTTTGTTTTTTTGGTCCCTTTCCTCTCTTTTTGTGGCTTAAATGTTCTTTTAACTTCCACCTTTAAAAACTATTGTTGAGTATAAATCCAATGTGTTCTTTTAAGTATTAAAAGGTTTTTTGCTCAACAAAATTACCCATTGTCATTTTTGTTTTTAGAGTTAGCTAGCGATGAACTAGGCCATAAGTGGAAAATAAATAGTTATCCAATTGGTTTCAGTAGTATTATTAACTGAGCCATTTAGATTGTATGCTCAAGTCAATCTTGTTAGTCAATCTTGTTAGTGGGTATTAAGTCTTTTAATATACAAGAATGGGAGTGGGAGTACCCTCTACCCAAACTTAATTAGTTAAATTATTATTATTATTATTATTATTATTATTATATATATATATATATATATATATATATATATTGAAACTTCTCTTATGTGAACTTACATATAGTTTGCGAAATGTCACATATGGTGTGTGATGATGACTGATGCTTACTATGATTAGGTACATTGCTATTGCTTACCCTTCTTAACAGTTTAACTTACTTTCCTTTTTTTATTGCATTTAATAGTTTTAAAAAAATTCAATTTTGTTGCGGCTTCTCGAGTGGTTTGGTGCGGAATTACTATATTCAAAGGCGAAGTGCATAAAGTCAAAAACAGTTTGAAAATTTTAAGATTTTAGAAGACTAGTATGAAGGCATGAGAGTTTGTTTGTTTTTGTTATTTTATTTTATTTTTAAGGAATGAGAGTTTATTTTTTACTTGTTAGTTTGAATTTGGGTTGTACAATTGGGGAGTTAGTTTTCTTTTGTAATCAAATCGAATATTGTAATACAATTTTGTAATGATATTTGATGTTTTATTCAACATTGTTTCAATTTTTGTGTTGAAATGAATATAATTTAGTATAGAAATTTAATTGAGTGGTAGTTTTGAGTCTTATAAGGGCATCTATAGCGACTAAACCAAATGGTGCTAATAATTTAGAAATTAATCACAAAAAGACTTCAGCAACAAAAGAAGATCGTCACAACCTAGTCTATATTAACAACAATTGATCGTCATTAATTCATATATTTGTCCTCAGCATTGCGACGGAGAGTTTCGTCACTAAAAGCATACCTATCAATGACAAAACAAGTATCGTCACTAAAAATCTAGATTTAACAACGAAACTATAGTTCAACCAAGACGATTATATAATACAATTGGGGAGATAGCTAAGTTTCGTCGCTAAAGAGATATAGTGACGAAAACTTGAGCTACTTGAGCTTTAGTGGCAAATTATTTCATTACTAAACCCCTTAATTATTTGTTGTAGTACTAACAATAATATTACTAATCTCTCACTTTTTTTATCTTTATTTATTTATTTATTTATTATTATTATTTGTGCGCAATAATTACTAGTACTTACTCTCATAAAAAAGTGAATAAAAAACCACATGCCACAAAAAAAAATTTGGACATTTAATGAGCGTGGTCAGGACCCCAACTACAGTGACCACCCAGTGCACCATGGTCACATGATTGTGCATTCTGCTGGATTACCTACTGTGTAGCAATCACAATCAGTCATGTAACATGGTCTTCCATAGCAAGAGCATGGTTTTCTTGGGGGATAATAACATGGTGGTGGTGGTGGTGTCCTTCCAAACCCATGATAACATGGCCCCCCAGGAATGCCTTCAGAACATGGCCCACAACATTCCTGAGTCGGGATATATGTATTCACTGGATCAGGTGGCGGTGGCGGTGGTGTCCTTCCAAACCCATGATAACATGGCCCCCCGGGAATGCCTTCAGAACATGGCCCACAACACACCTGAATCGGGATATATGTATTCACTGGATCAGGTGGCGGTGACGGTGGTGGTGGCAGTGACGGTGGTGTCCTTCCAAACCCATGATAACATGGCCCCCCGGGAATGCCTTCAGAACATGGCCCACAACACACCTGGGTCAGGATATTTATATTCACTGGATCAGGTGGCGGTGGCGGTGGCAGTGGCGGTGGTGGTTGCTTAGAATCTTGTTTTGGGGGACCGTCGTCTGCAAGTTTGCCATTTGTCTTGGGCTTGTTGTCCTTGTCATTGTCTTTCTTTTTCTCGGGCTCTTTGATCTCAATACTCTTGATTGACTTCCCTCCCTTGCAGCACAACTTGTCACGAATTTTCTCGGGGCTGCAGCATATTACGGTGATCGTCACCGTATTTTGCTTTTTATCATACACCTGGTCTCGAATTTCTCAATGTTCCAAACATGATTTAACATCACAAAAAAGTTAAAGTCGGTTCTTAAAATCAAGAAATTACATAAGGAATTGATATATAAGAATTAAGTTAGGCACCATTCATCTTTTCAGTATTAATTATGATGAATTGATGATGAGGAAATGTGTATATATGTAGTATAATATGTGTGTGTGTGTCAGTGTTTATAGAAATATATATGCGATCAGGGAGGTACGCATATAGAGACTCACGAGGAAATTTACACAGTATTTTCTTGATCTTGTTGCAGCAGCAAGAGCACTGAAGACCGACATGTAGTATCATTGTTGTAACCTATAATTTACATTACAGAAAGGAAAATTAAGAACAATTTTATGCATATAATCAAATGGGTACGTACTGTATAAATAGAGGGAGAACGTACAAGATTCACAAACCTTTTCAGCCATGGTTGTGACTTTGATTGCTCAGAAAATAATCAAGCTGTTGGAGAATACTGGTGTGTTGATGATGAACTGTGTGTGTTTGTGTGTGAGAGAGAGAGAGAGGGGGGGAAGAGAGACGGACAGAGAGACATAGACGTGTTCTTCTTATGAAGGAGATATGTCAGTGAAGTAGGCTTTTTATTAAGAAGGCAGATGTAGGTAAAATTAATATAGTACATGATGGCCAATGAAGTGGTGACGCGTGTACAGATGATGGTGATGTGTCAGCAAGATGTCACGGGCCTGACATTTGGCCACTTTGAAAGTCCCATCACCTTCAGGCTTCCACAAATTTAATCATTCAACTTTTACAAAGTAACTTACATTGGTTTATCACAGCAATAGTGTCAATTCGTTTTCTTACAAGACAAGCTAGCCCACAATATATGCAATGCTTGAAGTTTGCCCTACTTCATTAAGTTTTGTCCATCAACACCTTTTTAAATATCTAACAATTATTAATAGGGAACAAAATTCCGACGAGAGCAATTGGGGAGTCTGGGGTGGTATACCAAATTATTGATATACCCAATCAATAACAATACATTATTTTTAAAATAATTAATCTACCTATTTGCAAAATTAAGAGATAATATATTATATTTGACTGGGTGAGTACATTTATGACGGGCATGCTTAGCGCACCAAATATTTAGTTCAATAATGGGGTAATTTTGGTATTGTGATCTAATGAAGTCAAGAAAGAATTCAGCTTTTAAAAGGTAGCGTGGTAACCAAGCAAGCGTGAGCTATCTCTTTCTGTCTCCGCTTGATCCCAGTTTCCGGTTGATGAACAAGGGAAAAGATAGAATAACATCGTACAGTTGGTATCAAGTTCATTAGAATCTATTCGACTTTTGCCAAGGAGGGAATACAAATTTTTGTGTAGGTCACCCTTGCATGTGAGGTTCGATATATTGGTTAACGCATTATAAAAGTTGAAAGATACTTGTACCATGCACAAGTCATTATTATTCCACTTAATCTCTCTCTCACACACACACACATATTATATATATATATATATACACACACATATAATACTTCCCGTATTAATTACAACGCTTATATTGGATCTACCCGGTTTTAATGCAAACACAGGTCGTGAGCTCAACACTCTTTTCTTTCGTTGCTATGATTATTATTGAATGAAACAAAATAATTATCCTCATTGTTACCTAATAAAAGAAAAATAAAAATGAACCTAACCTCTTTAGATCAATTGAATAAAGTCGATTTGACATAGTAGTGACATAAAAATCACGTCTTCTAGTTCAATCTCTTTCATCAAACTTCAACTTCTAAATCTCTTTCATCTCTTTAGATTGTTTAATTATTTCCATTATTCTTCTTTTATAGTTTTTGACCGCTTGATAATGAAAAAAGAGCTCCTTCTTAACAAGAATATTCACATTTAACTATACAATTTTGAAAAATTATATAGTAAAAAGAATAATAATAATAATAATAAATAATTAAATATAGCATTCAGTGGTTAAATATGAGTAATCGAAACTCTCCCGTTACCATTACTCTAAAATAATGTCATCCCATCAACTACAAATAGTCACAACTTGTGGGTCTCAGTGAGTTAGCGGCGTTCATTAGAGCATTTTTCATTTATTATTATTATTATTATTATTTCATTTAGCAGCTAATTAAGTAGCCTAAGTGCCAAAACCGTTACCAGCCCTATTAATTAATCATGTTGTGTCATAGAGTGGACATCTTACCCTTCGTCAACATACCCAACCAAATTTTATAGGTAACGATTCCATCATTTAAATAAGAAAAGTGTTCAATGGGACTATTAAATCTTGAACATCCAATTATTTAAATCTCAATCACTACAATAATAATAATAAAAAAATACTGCCATAGCTACTTGACAGCACTTATGACAACATTTATATTTGCAATCATAACATGTGTTGCCATAGGCATGGCATGAATTGTATTTGCTGCCATATATGAAAAACATATGACAACAAATATAAATTCTGCAAAAAATGACTCTTATTTTTTAAGGTTATAAAGTAAATGAAACATTTTTTTTTAAAAAAAAATCAAATTTTAATAATCAACATCAATCCATTCATAAACCAAATTTACTAATTAATAAACCCAATCCACAAAAATGACACTTATTTTTGAAGGTTATAACAATATAGTTAAACAAGAGCGAATTCAGGAACTGTCAATGAGGGCTAATATTAAACATAATTTTTTTTTTTATAACATAGTCTAGATAAATATTTAAAATCAAATATTATAAATTATCTATCTAAGTTGTGCTTGGCGAGTCTTTAAAGACTCGAATTCGTTGATAACGGACTCCAAGTTAATTTTCTAAATAAGGTCTCGTTCAAAATACCTAAATCAAAATACCTAAATCAATGTTAGAAACTTAGAAATGACAACCCATTTATAGATCTTAGATAAACAATTCAAGGAAGAAATTCACTCATACCAAATTTAAACAATAAACATACAAAATCAAGATAACCAAAGAAAGGAAAATTGTTTGGCAGCTTTGGCTTGGGCCGTTTGGTTGGGCTTCTGTTTAAAAATTATGACTTAGATCTTGAGCTTGTTTGAATGGACTAATATTTGGGGATTAAAACTACTACTAATTTGTTTTGTTTTGGAATTGGGCTAAATTTACCTATACTAAATTTTTTTGTTTTGGAATCCAAAATTTGGTTTACAATATTTTCCTTTCAGCATTTTCTCGGCATTCAAACAGATCAGAATAGAAAAGGAACCTTCCGAAAGCATTTCCGACTAATACAAGTCGAATTCAAAGCGGTGACGGAGCTCATTTTTTTAATGGAAAATCTGTAGAAATCATGAGCATAAAAAGCTTCAATCAAGTAAGGTTTTTATATAGAGAAATCGGAGTGCATTGCTTCAACAAGTAATGTGATTTAGGGATGTACCTTTAGCAATAGGACAACTTAGAGCCACAAATTAGGTTTCTTTGGGAAAGTGAACTGCAATTGTTTGGATGAGGCTGTTGAGATTTTCACTTTCTGCAAAAGAATAAAGCATCTTTCAGAAAAGTGTCAGTGACAAAACCCTAGAATGGAATGGTAAACCTGTGTTTTCTGGTCCCACCGTCCCATGAAAACTCTATACCACCTGTGGAAAATGGTGACAATGTGACATGGCTTGGGCAAAGGCCCAGGCTCAGCCCAAACCGGGACCAGTCGTGCTCTTACAAGTAATCTGGCACCAAAGGCCCATGGAAGAGAATCAAAATCCTCTCAAAACAAGTAATCTGGCACCCAAAATGCCCATGGAAGAGAATCAAAATCATCTCCAAACAAGTTATTGACATCTCAAAATAATTTGAGTACGTGAATAACTTATTTTGAGAATCAATATATTAAAAATTATATTTTAAAATAATTTGTTCATTTTCAAAATAAGCTGTTTAATACGTGTGCATCACGATGTAGTAAAAAAAATGTAAGTTTTTTAAATAAAATATCGTAACCAATGTATAATTCCACCACTATTGTAGGGCCGCCTGGTTGCGAAGCTTATACAAGAGATGTTTTTATTTGCATTCAAGCCTTTTAGAAAGAGTTGCTACATTAAATAAGCGTTTAGGTGAAGGAAATATGACAACTTTACCAATCAATGATTTAGACTCAACCGGGGGGCCTATTTGGGTCGTGTTATAAATGCCCTAGCTAACCCTGTTGATGGCTTGGATATCAGGAATACAAGAGAGAGAAAAATTCTCTCCATTAGATTCATTATTGTACAATCTTGCTTCACTTGAGTCTTGAGAAAAAATAAATAAATAAAAAATAATACACTCTTTATTTCCTATTGCATTCCATATTTCAATTATGTATAACTTAATATTCACGGTAAAAAAATTCCATTCTTGTAATAAATTTGTGGGCAAATCATTGGGGACGGACCAGACCATTAAGTGAGGAGGGCAAAAATAATATTTTTTAATAATTTCAGAAGAACAATAGTACGAAAAATAATAATTTAATAAGACTTATTAATAATTAAAAAAAAAAAAAAAAAAAATCAGGGGGGGAGGGCAATTCCCCCTGTACGTAGGTCCGTCCCAACAAATCAAAACCCCTTCTTCTTGTATGTGAATGTAAACCTTCATTCATAAATAAGCGGAGAGTAATACTCATCATTCTCATCCATTCATTTTATCAAACGGGATTAGATGAGATCATGAGAGAGGTAGTCTGGTAGATGGTCATTTGGTTGGGTGAGAATATATATATATATACATATATGTATGTATTTTTTTTTCTTTTTCTTTTTTGGTCCTATTGATTAACACAATTACAAAAATTGCCCTTTTACAGAAATTTGAGCATTTGTAACCTTTAACTCTAACAAAGTTTAAAGAGATTCCACAGGAGCACATGTATGTAAAGTAAGTCCCTGGTGATATGGTTAACAATTTGAAAAAGTTTTCATATTTTAAATATGATCCCAAAGATATTTAATTTTGTTATATTTACTTTTTAAAATGAAATTTATTTTGAAATACGGGGAAATTTACTGAGAAGAAGTGGAGTTTTATCTTTTTAATGTTATTTATTAGTTTAGGTATTTGATATAATTATTAAATTACTAAGGGCCTTCCGGCTTATTGGTATTTTTTTTACTTCTCAAAAAAAATGAGTACGAGTTTGAATCTCTAAAATAGCAAAATAAGTGATGTGTGAGATTATTGTAAATGATTAAAAAAAAAAAAAAAATTATTAATTTTACTTTTTCATAAATACTTCAAATTAATAAATTGTGGTCACCAAATTCCACACCCTCATTTAATTGGTCCAAGAGGTGTTGAAGTAATTTTCACAAACGTGCACTTTACAAATGATGAAAAGAGGACTTGAAAAGAGAAAAAGAAAAGTAAATGCACTATAAAATACCTAGCACTGTAGTAAAGACTTGTATTAATATTTAATAAAAATTTATAATACCTTTTTATTTTTTCCATTTCCACAACATTAATAATACCTTATATAGAACCAACATACCCCTTTGTATAAAAATGAAGAACCACTCTAGCCTCAATATTACTATTTTTTTTTTTTTAATTTTTTGTTTTTTAGTGCAATAATTACTAGTACCCCACTCTCTTAAAAAAAACCAA